GGTCAAGAACCGCCGATTTAATGCCTGCACTTTAACAACTTCACTTTCCAAACGTAGTAATAACATATGCAATTTTCATATACCGCTTTTCCCCTAATTGGCGACTTCCTGTTTAGGCAAGGAAGGGATCGCGTCGAGCGACGCCAAGAAACCGTCACTTCTCTTACATGTCTCCATTCCTTGTTAATTGAAGTGAACTATGGTGATCTGTATGACCATTGTTACTCGTTTTGTAAAACTTTACAATCTTCTTCTTCGTGTTCACCAGCTGTAAGCTCCGGCGGAAATATCTAGTTGTTCATCCATCTTCGGACTTTGGTCTTGTTCCAAAACTTGAGTGTTGCATGATCATCTGTTTTACAGATCTGCCTTATTTGTATGCAGACTGTTGGTTCCTTCCTCTCGGGTGGATGTGCTCCGATTTCTTTTTCTTCTTTGCGTTCACCAGCTGTAAACTCTGGCGGAAAGTTCTGGTTGCTCGTCCACTACTGAACTGCAGTCCTGCTCCAGAACCTGAGTGTTGCGAGTGCATCAGTTTTACAAATCTCATTCTCTTGAATACAGACTGTTGGTTCCTTGCCTCTCCGGCAGGTGCACTCCGCCTTTAAAGGAAGCTCCCCAATTAGTCGACTCTTACGACATGCTTTTGGGGAGGCCTTGAATTTCTTGAATAAAATCAACACATGGACGACAATTTTTTTGGTCGTAATGAGAAGAAGAAACCGGATCATGTAAAAACCATTGGACAGATCTAGAGACAGAGGAAGACAGCGCCGACGATTCTTGAAACTGTTCGTCCTGGCATGGAGGGGTGTCAGCACCCACACGGATACATGCTTTTGGAGATCGCAGATTGCGGAGAGGCATCATCGCTTACACCAGTCGGCAAGGCACTTGATGATGGTGATGATGATGACGACGACGACAATGATGATGACGACGACGACAGTGATGATGATGATGATGACGATGATGATGATGATGATTTACTCTTTTGAGAGTCTGCTGTGGAAACCACATAACGCTCAGAGAATTCACTAGGTATACATTTGTATTAATCGCGCAGTCAAGTTTAAGAACCCCTTCAGAAGGAAGAAACACACTACACGACCGTAACGTGACCCGTTCTAATTAGTAGACAGACGTACAGTGACTAGAACCTTCTGGTGTAAACACGTCGCCGTACCGATATTTAGACAGGCAGAAATGTTACGTTGCCGTCATAATAGCCATTGTGCATTGAATTGCTTTGACTAAAGAAATGGACACAAGTAGACGTAGACAGACGGTATTTTTAGACAGGTTTTGGGAAGCAATATAGTCGGTAACGCGGTCTAGAACTGGCAATGTTGACTGAGAAAGAGAAAGAGGAAGGCAAAGCGATGAATACCTCGATGACCTGGCCAAGTGGGTGGGGATGAAATAAGAGCACTGACCTGACAGGTGATTCTGGTGATCGTGTAAGATGATGGAACATCAGCGCGACAAGAGATTTTGAAAAGTAAAGTTAAAAAAAAGACCCACTGTCGGCAAATATTTGGTAAAATGTGACTATATAGAGTGTTTGCTGTCATCAGATGTGGTGGGGCAAAGGGCGCAGTTTTCACAGTCAAGCTTTAAACCATAGCGTACCAGTAGTGCTTCTGAGGGCGGAAGAAGAAGAAGAATGAGGAGGAGTAGAAGAAGAAGTGAAAGAAGGAGGAGGAGAAGAAGAAGTAGAGCAAGAATCTAACATGCAGTGTTGCCACTTTTCTTTGACAAAAAACATCCAAAACGGAGTCAAAATATATCTTAAAACATCTAAATTTGCGATTAAAATATCTAGAAAAAAACATCTAAATGGAAAGTCCCAAATTACATAGCAATTGATATGACTTACCCTATATAATCATGTCCTTATCTTTATTAGAGTCTGCCTTACAAGATCCACAGGATAAACTTAGCTTGGATGATGCAGTTGAAGCTTCAGATCCAAAATAGCCGAATTTTATTGTCAAGATAGCATTTAAGAGGTCAAATTTTATCCTATTTCTTAGGTTAGATTTGATGAATTCACTCTAAATGAAAAATATCTAGAAAGACATCTAAATCTAAAAGTCAAAAACGCCATCTAAATGCAAGGGAAAACATTTGAATCTGGATGTAAAACATCCAAAGTGGCAACACTGCTAGCAGGTTAGTTGCTCTACCACGACTTCCGGTGTCGCTTGAATCAAGTAACAGACGCTCATTGGTCGTTGTTAACGACAACCACTACAGTTACGTCATTCGCCCAAGTATTGCATATAGAAACCATGAGTGCTGTGGGGTTGATACGCGGAAAGACTGAAAACAATAACAGAAACTGTGCCTCTTCAACATCAGGGAGCATTGAAACCTGCGCCTCGGACACCTTGAAGTGGAAGGGGAGGGCGGGGGCCTTAGCTCTAACCTTTAACCTTCTCCAGTTTGTAAATGGACTGAGTTTTTCCTTCCCCTGTGGGGAGGGGGTGAATCTTGTATAGATGCTCTCTTTTTAGGTGTTTGTAAGGTATGATCCACTATAATCTCCCCACGGTTCACACTAGCTCACTCCTGATTGGTCGACCTCCAGTCACCCGACCTTCGCACAATGCTAGAGGGGAGTTCATCAATGCGTTTATATCACGGGTTGTATATTTAAGCAAGCCAGCGCTTTTAACACTGCAAAAACATTTACAAACTGGGTCTAACCCACAACTCCCCTAGAGAGTGCTGCAACCTATGTCACACAATAAAGTAAATGCAAGAGAAGCCAGAAAGGAGAACATAGCCCCATACCCCCCCCCTCCCACCCCCTGACAGCAGACGAGTCTAAAAAATGTATCAATGGATCACGACCTTGTTCGGCTGGGGAGATTATCGTGGATCTTACCGTTTGGTAATGCATTATATACTGTTTGTCATTCAGCAGATTACTTATCAACATTTCACTATTATTATTAAAGATGGAAACTAAACACAGCATGTCGTCCCTCGTCTCACATCCTCGATCACTCGCAAGGGGACTGAACTACCCATCCCGCCGAAACTGTACTTGATTATTTTTTTCTTTATGAAATACGACCGACATGTCATAGACAAGAAGAAGAAGAAGAAGAAGAAGAAGAAGAAGAAGAAGAAGAAGAAGAAGAAGAAGAAGAAGAAGAAGAAGAATAGGATGAAGAAGAAGAGAAGAAGAAGAAGAAGAAGAAGAAGAAAAAGGAAAAAAACAAAAAGAATAGACAGAAGAAGAAGAAGAAGAAGAAGAAGAAGAAGAAGAAGAAGAAGAAGAAGAAGAAGAAGAAGAAGAAGAAGAATTTCTAGCTTTGCTTTCTCACACTGTAACCTGAAACTGCGAGTGACAGTTTGTAAAGTTTGTAATAATCTGTCTTTGCCTCTTGGTTTCTTTAAAAAAAAAATTAGTATAACTTATTGCTTTCCAATGAAGGACCCACCTTTTTGTTGTTTCAAAAACTCACCCTCGCTGTTACCGAAGGTTGAACGAGATTTCTGAGACTTGTCCCCTGGTGATCCTTATCCGAATGGTGGCACTTTGTGTCACCGGGTATTTATCGCTCTGTGGGATTTAACGTCAGTCAGTCTTTAAAAATGTTTCGACTCCTCATTGTAAATATCTAAGAAATGTTCAGCAATATTCTGTAAAATGAAACCACATCCCCCAGAACTCAGGACTTCAAGGCTTCGTCTGGAGAGAAGAATAGACCTAGTGCCTGGAGGAAAGATTAGACCCACTGTTTGGAAGGAGGAATAGACTCACTGTCTGGAGGGAATAGTAGACCCACTGTGTGGAGGGAAGAACAGACCCACTGTTTTGAGGGGAGAACAGACCCACTGTTTTAGGGGAAGAATAGACCCACTGTCTTGAGGGAAGAATAGAACCACTGTTCTGAGGAAAGAACAGATCCGCTGTCTGGAAGTAAGAACAGATCCACTGTCTGGAAGGAAGAACAGACCCACTGTTTTAGGGGAAGAATAGACCCACTGTCTTGAGGGAAGAATAGAACCACTGTTTTGAGGGAAGAACAGAACCACTGTCTGGAGGGAAGAACAGATCCACTGTCTAGAGGGAAGAACAGACCCATTGTCTAGAGGGAAGAACAGACCCATTGTCTAGAGGGAAGAACAGACCCACTGTCTGGAGGGAAGAATAGACCCACTGCCTCTAGCAACCATCTTGTACAAGGCGATAATTAAACGTAAGCTTAAATCAGATGTGTTGGCCTAAAGGCGCATATATCGCAGCTTAGTTGTAAACTACAACACAGCGTGCCACCAAACGCCCTTTGAAGAGCAAAAGAAATGAAAAGAAGAAGAAGACTTAAAGGATGACTCTCATCACCCCCGCCCCTTTCCACCCACCCCTCATATTGCCTTGTTTACTCACAGTGGAAGATTCTTAATTATTGATTATACCAGGTTTTATGCAGCATGCAAGAATTCTTTTTCCTAATCCTCAACGGAAGGGAATCATGGACAGTTAGTAAATTAGTGAAAACATATTTGGCAGCTGCGGAGATGTGGTTTTATAGACGAATGATGAGAATACCCTGGACGGATAGACAGAGTAATGAAGATGTCTTAAAAGAAACTGACTCCTGAAGAGAAGTGATTGCCCTCATCAGAAAGAGGCAATCTAAATTCTTTGGTCATGTGATGAGGAGACTGGAGTACATTGTGACAACAGAAAATTTGGAGAGGAGGAGAGGCAGTGGAGACCAAAAGAACAGGTGCTGGACAGTTTGATATAACGGCATGGAGGATCATCTGTGTCAGAGCTGATTGAAAGAACACGAGACAGAAGGTTGTGTATAGAATGATTACCAACACCATACGACATGGACTTTGAGAAGAAAAAAACGAAGAAGAACACCCAACGGCATGGATTCATTACATATATGGTTCATAATTTGTAATAAAATATAGTTTTTGCCTATTCTATTCAATAGAGCATGTGTATACGGTTTCATTTATATTCCCAGGCAACGCAAAAACTGTACGGAATGACAACTCGAGTAGATTCGGTAAGTTCATGCAAGTCTGCTTCTCGGGCACCCAGATCAAAGGCTGCATCGTGCAGGACTACCTTCTGGAGCAGTCCAGGATAACATTCCAGAACCTGCAGGAGCGCAACTACCACGTATTTTACCAGCTGACTGCAGCTGCCCAAGCGTGCCCACAACTTGCTGAAACCTACATGCTGGCTCCTGCAAGCTCCTATCACTACCTCAGCCAAAGTGGCTGCTTCTCTCTGGATGGCGTCAATGATGCGGTTATGTTCGACAACTTGAGGCTGGCCATGAACGTTCTGGGCATTGCCGAAGAGATGTCTCAAGGGTTGTTTTCGGTTCTCTCGGCAGTTCTTCTCCTTGGGAATCTCAAGTTTCAGGCCGTGGATGGCGATGTAGAAAAGAGTGAGTTTTCTCCACAAGATACGGAGGTGGTGGAGAAGGTGTGTCTGCTTCTAGGATTTGAGATGAATAGTTTTCAGGAGATTTCTTTGTTCAGACAAATTCAGGTCAGAGGGACGGTGACCAGCATTCCTTTCAAGCTGCAGGAGGTAAGTTCAAGCATTATGATCATCATCTTTATAACATCATTTTTATAACATAATCTTTATAACATCATCTTTATAACATCATCTTTATCACCAAGGTCTTTATCTTCATCTTCTTCATCACCATCCTCTTCATCATTATCTTCTTCATCACAATCCTCTTAATCACCAACCGTATTATCTTCATTATAATCATCTTCATCATCAACCTTATCGTCATCCTCATCATCTTCTTTATCACCATCATCTTCATCATCATCTTCTTCATCACCATCATTTTCATCACCATCATCTTCATCATCATCATGATCAATATCATCTTCATCAACGTTATCTTCGATTTCATCATCTTCCTCATGATCATTATCTTCAACACCACCATCTTCATCACCATCCTCTTAATCACCAACCGTTTCATCTTCATTATAATTATCTTCATCATCAACCTCATCGTCATCCTCACCATCTTCTTTATCACCATCATCTTCATCATCATCTTCTTCATCACCATAAATTTTATCACCATCATCTTCATCAACATCTTCTTGATCACCATCATTTTTATCACCATCATCTTCATCATCATCATGATCAATATCATTTTCACCAACGTCATCTTCGTCATCATCATCTTCCTCATGATCATTATCTTCAACACCACCATCTTCATCACCATCCTCTTCATCACCATCATCTTCATCACCATGACGTTTCAACTTTTGTGATTCAGAGTGGTGATGGAGGAACAGTTTGTGATCTATTGCTCGATCAGTGGCAGTGTCTAGAGTCATCATCATTGTCAATCAGCGGCTCCTCTATAGAACGTCGCTCTCGTCACGACACGCCTGAAAGTCTCTCTTTCTCTAGCCAGTTCTACAGCCCTGTGTTCTTTCTAAACCAGTGCATCTTCAGTGTGCTGTATCCACCGTTGAGGAGGTCAATCTATCTATTGTCAACCCGTATTGATGTATAATTTGTTTAATGTCAACAATCCATCTTTTCTATATAATGGTTAATGCCTTTCCGTGTCCCTGTCATGCCATTGGTCATTAGGCCTGTCTTCAGTCTGGTGTCTCTTGCATTGACAATGTTTTCTGATAAATATGTTTCTCCGTGCTTTGAGACCAGACGGTCCAACACGATGTCTTTTAGACTCGCTTGCCTTTCTGTCCCTACAACTTTCCTGCGGTCATGACATACTCGAACTTTCTGGAGTTCATGAAATCCCCCCCCCCCCCCCCCCCCTCCCCCCCCTCCCCCCCCCCCCCCCAAAAAAAAAACAACATAGAGTGCCTTCTTCTTAGGCAAGTAATTAGTTTTCTTGGTGAGTTTTAATTTCCTGCAAGACGCTTTAATTAAAAAAAGGTGTATTTTTAATCCTTCTATAGTGTTCTCCTCATTCGTAAATAACAGTAGTTCTCAACCTACTGGTCGCAACCACTTTTTTGTGTGGGTCCAACTACCCTTTTACAGGGGTCGCCTGACCATTGAAAAAGAGACGGCGGGGGCCGCGTTAGCGCAGTCGATAAGAGGCTCGCTTTCAAATCCAGCTGCGACTCGCTGCAGCCCACGGTCGGTGTTCGAAACCGCGCGGTTCCCGGGGTTCACCCAGCCTCTAGAAAAATAGGTACCAGAGTAAAGGGGTAAAGGGAGGAACGTCGCTGTAGCTACAGAGTTACGTGCGAACGGCGACACAGGCGGAAAGTTCTTATCAGCTGTCCGTACTAGTGGCAGAGCACTTATGGTTTATAACCGCGTGCAATGACGCTGGTTCACATCTCCCGACTTTACCTTTATCTTTTTTTATATTCATTGAAGTTAGGAAGGAAGATAATTGCTTGGAGATCACCATAACATGAGGAAACTGTATTAAAGGGCCGTCACAACATGAGGAAACTGTATTAAAGGGTCGTCACAACATGAGGAAACTGTATTAAAGGGTCGTCACAACATGAGGAAACTATTAAAGGGTGGTCACAATATGAGGAAACTATTAAAGGGTCGTCACAACGTGAGGAAACTGTATTAAAGGTTCGTCACAACATAAGGAAACTGTATTAAAGGGTCGTCACAACATGAGGAAACTGTATTAAAGGGTCGTCACAACATGAGGAAACTGTATTAAAGGGTCGTCACAACGTGAGGAAACTGTATTAAAGGGTCGTCACAACGTGAGGAAACTGTATTAAAGGGTCGTCACAACATGAGGAAACCGTATTAAAGGGTCGTCACAATTGGAGGAAACTGTATTAAAAGGTCGTCACAACATGTTGAAACTGTTTTAAAGGGTCGTCACAACATGAGGAAACTGTATTAAAGGGTCGTCACAACATGAGGAAACTGTATTAAAGGGTCGTCACAACAAGAGATAACTGTATTAAAGGGTCGCCACAACATGAGGAAACTGTATTAAAGGGTCGCCACAACATGAGGAAACTGTATTAAAGGATCGCCACAACATGAGGAAACTGTATTAAAGGGTCGCCACAACATGAGGAAACTGTATTAAAGGATCGCCACAACAAGAGAGAACTGTATTGAAGGATCGCCACAACATGAGGGAACTGTATTGAAGGATCGCCACAACACGAGGGAACTGTATTGAAGGATCGCCGCAACACGAGGGAACTGTATTGAAGGATCGCCACAACACGAGGGAACTGTATTGAAGGATCGCCACAACATGAGGGAACTGTATTGAAGGATCGCCGCAACACGAGGGAACTGTATTGAAGGATCGTGGCATTAGAAGGGTGGAGAACCACTGGTCTATAAAATCCCTGCAGGATTCACATAATTCTGCACTAGATCGGCTGACTCTTTATGATTAGCTTCTGTACATTAAGATTAATTCTGTTCTCGAGAACTCCATGCTGTGGCCGAGATCTTTGAAATAAATGGCTAAATTAAAGACGGGAGTCGCCGTGGTGTGGTGGCTAGACGCTCGCCTGCGGATCGGAAGATGCTGGGTTCGGGTCCTGACGGAGTCGGACTTTTTTTTTCTCTTTCAAAAAATGACCTCGGCTCTAAGGTCGACCCAGCCTTTAGTGGGTACCAGGGGCAGTCATTTGAAGTAAAGGCAGCCGGTGTGATGCTGACCTAATCACCCACCAGGTGCCGACTGTTTGGTAAAAAAATAAGTCTAGCCCTATATGTCAGTACGTTTTACATTACACACCATTAAAGTAAATGCGGTGTACTCGAATCAAATAAACCTCTGCACTAGAAAGAAACACCAAAATAAGAATCGACTCGAACGACAAACGCCGGCCGTGTCCGCTTGGGCTAATCGAACGCGCCATTGCGAATTAACAACCAATAAATCGGAGACACCACTCCACTCTCTTTTATGTCGGAGCTATTTTATCGGCTCATGCATCTTTCGGATGATTAATTGAGCCTGTGGGCAGCTAGGCATGGAGGCGATTCGTCGGCGGGATGTCTCTTTATCTGCGATGAAGGATCGAGCCTACTGGGTGAGAGGTAATTCGGGGGCCAATCATAGAACTAGACTGGAATAAAGGGAAGCAATTTTCACATTTACAGGCCGTTACACGCAATTTCTGGTGTGTCTGTTGAACCAGAGTCGGCTCTGTGGCTAAGTCGATGCGAACGCTTCGTAATGCCAGCATGCTGGGTTCGATCCCAACCGCGGGCCATGCGCCTTTCGTTGGTTTCGACAGTGGTATCAAGAAAGCCGACCATCCAGAAAGCAATGGCAAACTACTGGACGTAAATTTGCCTAGATAAACCACACAACAGCCAGAGGCTGTTAGGGTTGGTTCTGCAACGTCCTGTAAAGGATACGCAGCTAACCTCTGTTTAACCCACGTTTTCTGTTACAAAACGCTCATCATAGAGGATGACGAAGTTTTGGAAAGGAGGAGGAGGAGGTAGGGGGTCTTAAATACGTTGAGCCAATTTTGGGAGTCCTCGCGTTTCTTCTTTAGTGATTGCTAGTCCTGTGTGGGTACCGAGAATTCGCTTTTGAAGTGAAACGATCCTGTGGGTCGGTAGGTCGTAGAAGAAGAAGAAGAAGAAGAAGACGAAGAAGAAGAAGAAGAAGAAGAAGAAGAGGAAGAAGAAGAAGAAGAAGAAGAAGAAGAAGAAGAAGAAGAAGAAGAAGAAGAAGAAGAGGAAGAAGAAGAAGAAGAAGAAGAAGAAGAAGAAGAAGAAGAAGACCTAAAGGATGACTCTCATCACCCCCGCCCCTTTCCACCCACCCCTTTCCACCCACCCCTTTCCACCCCTTTCCCCTTTCCATCCGGTAGGTCGTAGCGTCCTGACGGAGTCGGAGATATATTTTTGTTTTGTTTGTTTGTTAAAGGGCCTCGGCTCCTTTGTCGACCTAACGGCTGAACGGGGTTTCTGGAACCTCTCCACGGGTGATCCTCGTCCACATAGTGGCACTTTGTGTCACCCGGTGTTTATCGCTTTGTGTGATGTCCTGGTGGGGTACAACCAACTTACATACTATATTTTTTGTCTTTAAATTAGCCAACACCTTTTCTTGCCAGAAAATTTCAGTGTCGATTTTATTGCATTTTTTTTTTAAATAAAAAATTCGACCACTTTCAGCTTCCAACTGTCTCCGGTTATATTTGTGATCTAGTTTATATGCGCCACTCGTGTGGCTAAGATTGTGATATGTGCCCTAGCTCGCTGGCTGTATGTTCCTATCCTAAGCTAGACGGATCCTTCCTGTCTGTTTCAAAGTGTCTTCTTCTTGTACTTATCTTACTGATGTTTTTCCTCCTGAGTCATCCTCCGTGAGGTTCAATCTCCTTGTCTTTGTGTCATCCAATATGTTCCCGAACCTGTTCCCTTCTAGTTTGGTCAGTCGTGTCTCGTAAGAGACCGAGCTAGTTCGCACATTTTCTTTGCATAAGGTCCCTCCAGGTCACCATGTACAGTTTAAAAATTTTTACTGTTTCACTTTGCCAAAATTACTGAACACAGTTTTTGGGTATGGATAGGGCCGACATTGTTTGGTCATCGTGATCTTATAGATGTCTTCCTGTAATAAGAGCAGGTTAGTCATATAAGTGTGGTGCGGATGAAGTGGTTGATGACGCCTAACTATGATTATAGATCGATTCTAGATATCCTCCAGTTGTTTTTCTTCTTCAGGTATTGCATCGTGTGAATTGTCAGTCAACATGTCCTTTTACAGAACCTCGCTGTCGTCACTTCACACCTGAAAGTCTCCTTTTCTCTAACCATTTTACCAGCCCTATGTGCTTTCATAGCCAATCGATTTTCAGTGTTTTTGACCCCCTTTCGAAGGTGCCTTGTCTTCTTGAAACTGCACCTTCCATCACCGTTTTCTCCAGGCCACATGACGCTTATCATGACTAAAAAAAACATCCTAGCTTTCGGGACAAGATACTGTTTATGAGCCAATTCTCCTCGCTGCTCAGATCGTGTAGGATATTGGTGTTTTTCTTATTCTTCTTGGTCCACTGCATTCTAAGAATTTTTCATGGCTCAAGCTGGTAAGTAAAAAACAATATTATTTGGCAAAATGTGTCTTGCAAAAGCTTGCTTTATCTGTTCGGTTACTCAACTTGTTTGTCCTAATTCTTCTGTCCTTCTTCTGTAATAACCTTTTTCTGGAAGGACTGAGGGCGTAGGGAGGAGGGGGGGGGGGCGAGCCAGTGAATTGATTGATTGAGTGAGTGATTGATTGATGTTAATGATGTCAGAAACTAATTACTTCAGGTTTTCACAAGCCCTCCGTGTGGGTTAGGGCTCCCTTGTTGCGAGAGAAAGAAAGAACAGACTCACTGCCCCTTAGTTCCCTAACAAGCATGTCGTAAGAGGCGATTAATTATGTCTGTTTCCTTCGAAGTTTGAGTACATCTGCTTGAGAGGCGAAAAACCATCAGCCTGCATTCAAATAAACCATATTTGTAAAAATGATGTGCACGCAAAGGTTCTGGAACAAGACTTAAGTCCAGAAGTGGATGAATCTCTGCTCCTAAATATATTGATAATGAAAATATATTGTCGTTTAGTTTTTATTAAAAGAAATAGTTTTAAAATGTGTTTACAAAATTACAGAATTTATATTATATAATCATCTAAAATATCATGGAACGATCAGGGGGAAAAGGGGTAGAGGCAGACCAAGAGAGAAGATGCTGGATGGACTGAAACGATGTCATAGAGGGATGTCATCAAGAGAGCAATTCCAGGCAACCAGGAATCGTGATCTGTGGAGACACATGAGCGCCAGCGCCAGTTGGCAGGGCACATGATGATGAGGAATCATCTGAAAGGCTCTATAATAAAATGAATTAGACTCTCCTCATACTTATAAAAATCTCACTCAACATGGACTCAGTAGCTCAGTAATCGGTGATTAATTAGTAAACGGCATTTAAAATATATTAACATAAAATTGCATTAACGTATATTTAAAAAAAAGGAATTTGTTAAAACCTCTGCATATTACATGCATCATTATACCTAAATCCAGCAGAAATCCCAACCTGGTATATGTGAAACACTTCGGTAACTCGGATCTTTACTAATATCCTACCCCCATATGACGTCACAGAACAGTTCAACATTTTAGAGGGTGGTAAGACTGGGTTTCCCGGCTTTCTGATGCTTTTAACGACCCCAAAACATCAAAACTGGCCCTAACCCCAACCCACCTACATCCCACCAGAGAGTACAGCCTAGGTCCCATGACTGCATGCAGCCTATCTACCACCCCCTGGAATATTAGACTGTTCCGTGACCTGTGGATTTCCCTTGTTTGGGAAGCCCCGGTAACTCTTATGTAGCGTTTGCTAATGGTCTGTGTCTGTCTCTCCTTACCAGGCGACAGAAAACAGGCACGCTATGGCCAAGGCTCTGTACTCTCGCACCTTTGCCTGGCTTGTGGACGCCATCAACAAATGCACAAATCCTGGCGCCTACCAGAAACATTTCATCGGCATTTTGGATATATTTGGATTTGAAAATTTTCAGGTAAGTGAACATTTCCCCCCCCCCCCCACTCTCCCCCTCTCCCCAACTACCACCACCTCCACCCATCCCCCTTTTTTTAAATTCCTTTCTCTTCAGGTAGTCCATTAATCGCAATTCCAGTTTCACAGTTAACGGGTCAACCCATATTTGCTCCGTTTTTGTGCCAACGAAAACTACACAGAATATCCATCACTGTCTCTTGTTGGAAAAAAAAAACATTGGTCCACTGCTGTCTTAGCAAATCCATCAGCACAAGGCGCATTAAATGCAAAAGGCAACAGTCAGAGCTCCCAACACAAACAGCCCGACACCAAAAAATGCAGTGCCACCCTCAATGCAAGCAGAAGTTACACAAGATTAGTAGTTTTACACGCGGTATCTCTTCTTAGCGTCTTCTTTTCATTTCTTTCCTTTTTATAGTTTGCCTTTCCTCTGCCATTTTCCCTATCAGGGCTTCCAACAAAATCTCAGTCTGGTAACAGCCCAAGAGGATCAATTCCAGATACCATGGACAGCCTTCAAAGAAGTTAAAACTGAGGCACCTCAACGGCCACTCCAGCCCCGGGTGTAGCCTGCAGACCTTGCCGGTGAGGACTCCTTTCTTGAACGTTTGCCACAGTGAGTTTAGATGTAGATGTGAATTAACATCGAAGACAAAGGACTAGTGGATAATTACCAACGGGATTACGTGACGTGGGCGCAATGCTTGGTGAAGAACGTCTATGCCGCCTTCGAGACCAAGCTGGGAGACATTATAACCACTTCCTTATGAGAAAAGTCCAAAGAGGTATCTTGGAGTAGCTGCTGTATCTGAGGACTACGCACTCAGGCATAGGAATGTCCAGTATGTAGTGGTTTTTGATAACATTGAAGAACGGTCACAGACAGCATCAAACTACCACAGCATTATCTAACGCCACACACATCCTTGTGTGTGTTCCTGCGCTCCATTGTGGCTTACTCCCCTGCCAACCCCCCCCCCCCCCAACAAGCATGTCGTAATGGTGACTAATTAGGTGTGTTCCTTCAAAGTCAGAGTGCATCTGCCTGAGAGGCAAGGAACCAGCAGTTCGCATACACGTTAGCCAGATCTGCAGAACGGATTTGTACGCACATCTCAAATTCTGGAACATGACTGAAGTCTAGAAGTGGACGAAGCAGAACTTTCCACCAGAGCTTACAGCTGGTGAATGCGAAGAGACAAAAGAAACACCACAGGGGCTTGCACAATAAAAATATAAAGCAGGGTTTTTACAGGCAGAGGTTGACCTGCGCCAAAGTGGGCAGGGTATTGAGGAGACACTTTGAGCATGGCGTACGTCTTTGTGGCTTAGAGGGTAGTGACGTCGTTTCACAGTCTCATCCTCACACAGAGTTTCCAAGGTTTAGAAAAAGACGTATTCCTAGTTTTTAGCCAGTTGTTCGACAGCGGCACTGTAGAAGAGATAAGTGCCTCTTGATATTTAGGCTGCTTTTCGGGGTGTTATTCTGGGTGCTATTCATGGTGCTATTCGGGGTGCTATTCAGTATTCTATTGAGGGTGCTATTCAGAGTGCTATTCAGAGTGCTATTCAGTGTTATTTTTCGGGTGCTATTCGGGGTGCTATTCAGTATTCTATTGAGGGTGCTATTCATAGTGCTATTCAGGGCGCTATTCAGAGTGCTATTCAGTTGCTTTTTCGGGTGCTATTCGGGGTGCTTTTCAGTATTCTATTGAGGGTGCTATTCAGAGCTCTATTCAGAGTGCTATTCAGTGTGCTTTTTCGGGTGCTATTCGGTGTGCTATTCCGGGTGCTATTCAGAGTGCTATTCCGGGTGCTATTCGATATGCTATTCGGGTCTGTATCAGAGTGTTATTCAGGGTGCTAATGCCGGGATGCCAGGTTCGATCCTAGCTAAGGGCAATGCGCCTTGCGTTGGTTTCGACAGTGGTATCAAGCAGACCGTCCAGAAAGAAATGGCAAACTACTGGACGTAAATTTGCCTAGAGAGACCACACAACAGTCAGGGGCTGTTAGGGTTGGTTCTGCAACGTCCTGTAAAGGATACGCAACTAACTTTATTCAGGGTGCCTCGAAATATTCCCAGACTGCACAGAATGCACTGCAGCCAATCTCTGCTGTGAAGACATTTTAAAAAAAAAGAAGAAGAGCGAGAAAAAAAAACGGAAGATGAAGAAGAAGTCCGAAAAAGAGAGGATACGGGGGTGGAAGCGAAGATAGAAATAAAGAAAAAGGAAACAAACAAACTGCTAAACAAACTTCTTCGCATCCAGCGACTATAACTCTGGCATCCAGCGACTGTAACTCTGGCATCCAGCGACTATAACTCTGGCATCCAGCGAATGTAACTCTGGCATCCAGCGACTATAACTCTAGCATCCAGCGACTATAACTCTGGCATCCAGCGACTATAACTCTGGCATCCAGCGACTATAACTCTGGCATCCAGCGACTATAACTCTGGCATCCAGCGACTGTAACTCTGGCATCCAGCGACTGTAACTCTGGCATCCAGCGACTGTAACTCTGGCATCCAACGACTATAACTCTGGCATCCAGCGACTATAACTCTGGCATCCAGCGACTATAACTCTGGTATCCAGCGACTATAACTCTGGCATCCAGCGACTATAACTCTGGCATCCAGCGACTATAACTCTGGCATCCAGCGACTATAACTCTGGCAGTAAGTTTCGGTTTTCGCCACTTCTAGACTTTTGTCTTGTCCCAGAACTTGAGTTTTGCGTGCATATCCGTTTGACAGATCTGGCTTATTTGTATGCGAACTGTTGATTCCTCAAATTAAATCAAATACAGAACGTAGCTACGAAACCCATAGGAGAAGCGGAAGGAACAAAAGCAAGGAATAAAGCTTCGTAGACATGAAGTGTTTGATCCAAACAACAACCACAACAACCTCAATACCTTACTTTTCTGAATCCCTTGTATGGTGATTCACATGTCCCTCTAAATTCCCCTTTCTGGGACATATATTCTGAAAAGACAGGCCGTATTGATTATTCCAGATGAATGTGTTCTGATGGGTCTGCAAGCCCAACGTAATCCCAACAGGGCAGTATTTTTCAACGTACACTACTGTCCCCTGACTGGCGTTCTCGATCTAATCATAACAGCCCTCTGAGCTCATCGCGCCGTGCGTGCTGAATATTCATTGCTCCATAAGAAGGCCCTGATTTACATCCTGGCCTCTGCCAGGGCTACTTCTGTGCCAGGATTTTGGCTGTTCAATGCCAAGTCTGTATAGTAATCAAGCAATGATGCTATGGACTGGTTGTTTTATTGATGTCAGTTGTTGAGACAGTTATAGCTCTGGGGGATTATGCGGGGTTAGATACACTAGAGATACTTTTTAAGTTGGTAAACTCATTTGCTCTTGTTCTGCGTTGTTTTCCTTTCACTAGTCCCATTTTAATGTCTTCATTAGATCACGTAATACTATCTTTCCTGCCAAACAGTGGACTTTCTTCATTAAAAAAAAACCTTGTTATTTCCTACTTCCATTAGCACATGCTGTTCTACTCATCATTTTCTTATCTGTCTTCTTTGCCTTTCTCTTCTTTCCCACCCCTTCTTCTTATTTAGCATCATCGTCACTGTCATCATCGTTATATTCTCCTCCTCCCGTCCGTATTGACAACCAACTCTTGCCCAGTCGTCCTATCTTTTGCATGTATCTTCATATTATCAGTTACGTGTCTAAATCTCATCATGTGTGTTAGAACTCCCTCTCTTTGTTTTACCTAAACAGCGCAGACAGGCTAGTAAGACCCCTATAACAGACCCTTTACCTACAGACAAGTTTCAGGCCCTCATTGTCCTCGATCTCCTGGGCTTATAAGTCACGTCCGTACTCACATAACTCAACTTTAGTTCCTTGACTGATGAAAGAAAGAGTGGTCATCATCACTTGTGATCGACGAAAAACAACGTATTCTTGTTTGTTTTTGTGGTATTGCATAGTCTTTTAATGTGCTGATAAAAGTTCAATAGCCGGAACGATCACTTGTCGTTTGAGACACTGTTAAGTTTACGGATTTTACTTTTCGTTTCATTTGATATCTTTTCAATGATATAAACGTGTACGTGTATCTGTACGCTGGATGCGCCATCGATGTGAATGAAAACCTTAACTTCACTAGGTACTCAGTGACTGTTGTAGTCAGCGCCGTCTTTGCAGCATTGTGTGCCCCTGGGCAAACCATTGTGCTGGGGCCCCCCACGACAACCACTCACAGGAATGAAATGTAAATGGTCGATACTATTAAACATATTTTTTTATTGGCACTTTAATAGAACTGGAGGGGAGAGTGTGCATTTCGGTTTCATATTATATAGAATTAATTAAAGCTTCGCATATATTTTTTTTTCCTGGCAAGTCACTTGAAATATGCAGATCAGCATGTAGCCCAGATTCCTGGGCTCATGCGTTGAAACGGTCCTGAATGTAGTCACTATCAAGCTGACCGCATTTACTTCTCTAAATATTTCTCGCTGTCCCATTTTAGGCTAGGTCGCCTTGGGTACCAACTTAAATCTTAAAACTTATATGGGAGTTCGAACTTGCGACCATCAAGCAGCGTGCATGCAAGTCCTCTTTAAATCTACATTTTAAAATGTAACAACACGATGTTTGAGAAAACCCACAAGGCGTGTGACATTCTACCGTTAGATCTCCGGACAACTCAAAAGGCAGAGCATAAACGAAGAATGGAAAGAATTGGTCCAAAAAAAAAATCAAGTGGAATTCATCAATGGTAATGCAAACCAAATAATAGACACCATTCAACAAAAAGAACCAAATAAAAGACGCAAATCGACAGTTCTCATATCGCAAATGTCACAGGACTGTTCATTATTTCTTCTACTTGGAGATTTCCTGCCGGCTGCATGAATTTGCCTGATATTCTGTCTAGTTTTAATTTGACAGCATGTATATTATTGGGTAAATTTAGGAGGTCTGGTGTATGTTGTGCTTAC